CGTGCAGTTGTAACCTTCACCTTAGTTTTGAGTGCGTTGTTGACTCGGGGTATTTACTATGCATTGAGAAGTGTGGGGACTGTGCATTTAATTTTTAGCTGACCCACGGGGAGATCATGCGCAGTTTGGGGGGCCTCATCCAGGAGGCCCAGAGTTAGGGGGAGCGGACGTGTGGCAGGTCAAACCCCCCAGGTTGAAACGATTTGGCCTAAACCTCCTGCTTCATCCATCACCAGCCTCCTTATGACCCTGGAGACCAGCTCACAGGGATCCCACCTCCCACACTGCAGAGTGTCACAGTCTGAGTATGGGCCCCACCCCTTCCTTCCCCTCAGCGTCCAAGTCTGAGTAGATATCAGCTGTGTCCCCATGTGTGTCACAGTGTAGCCCACCGCCCACCCTGTTTCCGGTGCAGCCCCCGACCCTGTGGGGTGGACCTGCTGTGCTCCCCTGCACCTGGGTCTCTGAAGTTGGGCTCCCCTCTCTCCTGCTCTCAGCGTGGGCTATGGACCCAGGTACCCCAGGTCCCTCTGGGCACCTGCCTGGGCCCCTCCCAGGAGAGCACCTCGGGGTTGTAGCTGTGGTTGTCTCTGGATCATGTGCCCAGACTTGGAAACGGGGGTCCCCCGAGGGGGTGCGCCCCCCAGCTGGGCGCCTCCTCGTGGCTGTCTCTCAGGGGCATCCCTGAGCCAGCCCGTGGAGGTGGGCGCTGGCATCGCCATCGGGGCCTGCGCAGGGCTCTGGGCTCTGGGCATCCTCCTGTTTGTCATCCTCTTCCTCACAAACAGGTAGGTGAGCACCCCTGGGAGGGGGGGCATGCATACCAACCCGGACCACGCCCCGAGGCCCAGCCACCCCGGTCTGGCCGCTCAGGGAGGACTAGGGAGCCAAGCCCACAGGCCCTGGGCTCCAACGAAGCCTCTCCCCGCAGCTGCGACCCCGCTGACCCTGAGGAGGCCAGGGCCCGGATCACCGCAGCAGCATTACCACAGAGCCCCAGCCGGCCCTCACGTGCTCTGCACATACACGCACCCCGGGGCTCCCGCCGGCTCCCACCTGCCTTGGCTCATGGGACTCGGGTGGCGGTGACCGTGTCCCTCACTACACTGCGCGTCTGGAGAGGGCACTTCCTCCAGGGGCAGCCATGGCTGTGGGAGCTGACGCACATCGTGGCCTGGATCTGGTCCTTCCACCTGGGGCTGACCGTGAGCCTGGTGTGGGTCTGGCACCGATTCCAAGGTACTTGGCTGTGGAGGGGCCGCCACTTGAGGAAGGGTCCTCTCTGAATGCCTGGCCCAGGGCCAGCTTAGGTTGGGGTGAGGGGAGGGGGTGGGGCAGGTCTGCAGGCAGCACACAAGCTGGGATATAGGGGAGGGGACAGACTTGGGTCCTGCCCAGGGCACAGAGAACAGCTGGGTCTGGGTCTCCAGGGCTCGACCTCAGCCAGAGGACACACTGGGTAGACAGGCTCTCCTGGACCTCACTCACATTCCTGCCCATCCTCCCCTTTGCCGTGGTGACCGCCCTCAGCGCTGCGCTTCTGATCAGGGGACAAGGTACCGGGGTGGGGCTGAGGCAGCCCTACTGCCAGGCCCCCAGGGTCCCTTTGTCTGACCTCTGCTCAGCATCTGGCTGCCTCTGTGGGTGTCAGACTCCCACCGGGGCTGAGCTCCAAGGACAGGGTCTCTGGCATCACCTGAACCCACCCCTACCTCCACAGGTCCACTTGGCCTTGGCAGGTGGAAGGGTCATAGGCACTGGCCATGTGGCCTCAGGCTGCCGTGGAGTGGGATTCAATTAAAAGCAGCTGGCTCCTCCCTTTGCCCCAGGGCACAGGGCAGGGACAGGAGAGGACTCAGCCAGAGAGGCAGTGCACACAGTGGGAAGAGCCCACCAAGGTCCAAGTCACAGACCCAGTGCTTTCAGGAGTCCTTGGGCAACTCACTCACTCTGTGCCTGTTTCTCCATCTGTGAAATGGGAGCAGAGGCCGCTGGAAGTGCTCACCCCCCGGGGTCAGACACACAGCCCAACCCCACTGGGACTCCTGAGAACGGGCGCAAACCCCAAGTCTCCGGAGCTCAGTAGGGAGGGCTCCGAGGCCGAAGGAACGGTAAGCGAGGGCAGGAAGGTGTGCCCTCCTGCGGCCTGTCCAGGCTTGGGGGCGGGGGCTGAGTGGTGAGGGCAGCATCCCAGGAACAAGCCGGTGGGACGTTCTGCCGCAGCCTTCAAGGTCCTCGCAGGCCCCTAGCAGAGCCCGCTGGGGGGAAGGGGCCGGGGCGGGAGGAGGACGGGGACGGGAGGGGGCAGCCTTGCCAGAAGCTGAGCCGGCTCCTGGCCCTCTCCCTCCCGGTGTCCTTCCAGCTCGGTGTCCCTGCCAAGAGAGCAGTGACCCTCCAGACGCCTCCCGGCCGGAGTCCGAGAGTACTGTAGCCTTGGCCCCGGGAGGGACAGAGACCCCCACGCCATTCACGAAGGGAGGGGGGAAGGACCCCAAGGGTGCGGAGAGGTGTCAAGAGTAACACTTGGCTTTGAATCTGGGCCCTTGGAGGTGAGTTCCGTCGCCCGTGGGCGGTGGTGGGACCTGGTGGACACCAGGCACCGCTTTCCCAGCACAGTGAGAGAAAGCCACCGACGTCCGGAGTGGCGGGCATCTCAGCCCGCCTGCAGGCCGGGCGCCGCCCTCTTCCCTGGGAGAGGGGCTGCTCCCGGAATCACCCACGCGCCCCGTGGGTGGCGGCGGGGATCGAGCCCGAGGAAACGGAGGGGACGAGGTCCCCTTCTGCCCCTAATCGCCGCGGGGCAGAGGCAAAGCGCAGCCTCTGCGGCCGGGCTGGGCTGGGAGCGCAGAGGTGGACGCTTGCGGCTGGTGGCGGGGGTGGGGGGGTTG